AAACTGCGTTTCTCCATGTGCTTTTTAAGTTTAGAGAAATCTTTTCAAAACATTAAGTAAGACATCCAATTTCCGAAAACTCCAGCATACTCCAAAAAACAGTCAGTCGATCCGCACGACACTCCAAAAAACAAAATTTTTCAGCATAATGCTCAACGTTTCTTGGCACTGGTAGAAGATACTTAGAAGAGAAATGGCTGGTAAAAGACGATAGCAGATTTTTGATTTATAACGAACTGGCAGATTAAGCAACTTCAAGAAATTTTAGGTTACTCAACTCAAGCGAAAAACCCCCTGCTCAAAAAACAATGCAATTTTCAGAAATTTTAATCAGGAATTTGGCACAGTACACAGCTAAGCAGTCTTTAGGGTATGCAAAGCGAGTGCTCAGCATCTTGCATAAACTGCTTATCAATGCCAAACTATGGTGCTGATAAAAAATGGATTGTACAATTAGAGCAAAAATCTTGAAACTCTCCTAAACTTATTAATGTAGAGTATTAACATTTTTTACTGAAACAGGAAATATAGTGATTTTTCTTCCTAAGATGACAATAAAGTATCCTGGTAAAATAGCTTTGCTTCTAAAATCTTTCCAACCGACGAAGAGTTCGTCAGTGTGTTGCTTGAAAACTTTTAGGTTTTTTTCTTGTACTTAAATTCTCTCAGTAACGATAAAAATTGCATGTAGTAGCTATTTTATTTAAAAACTAGCAAAAAATTTAAAGATCGACTTTGAAGATAACTTTCAAAAAAAAATTTTATTCCAAAACTGATTTGAGCCATCATAGAACAACGTTTTTTTTACATGTCACAACTACCTAAACCCTACCAAAAATTCGGATACTCCTCCACTTTATCAGGTCGATAGTGAATAAATGCCTTATAAGATAAAATTGTAGCGACTAAATCGGTAGTGCGCTTAATTTCTCAACTGCAGATACAGCGTTTTAGTAACAGTATGACCAACCTAAAAAAAAGTTTTTCTAGGCAAAACTTTTTGACTCTTTTTTTTCCACATTGATAGTCAACTGCACATACAGAGTACTCAGACTTTTTTCAATATAAAACAGCTAATGCTCCATCCCTTACCAGGTCATTGTGTAGAAATTGACTTCCTTTGTCTGCTTACAGTTCATTAAAAAACTTTGATAAAAAACTGTTTCTTTCTATTAAGTCGCCAAATTAGCGGAGCGTCTAAACGTACACTATCTACAGCCGGCAGCCACAAATATAAAAGAAAACCGTCGTAAACGTCATAGAATCAGTGCGGATAAAGTTCAGAAACCAAAAATGACCTTAAAAAGCCCTGGCTTTTTACTGCTGTTACCACTGTACTTTATTTTTTGCTAAGCCTATTCTTTAGTTAAAATGTCCGTCATTTCACTTATCTTTATCTCCTAACATTGCTAACCCAAACTGACTACAGTTTAGCTCAACCAACCAACCTTGCCATCCAATCTCAAATCTGTTTACACCTAACGTTGAAGCAGACATTTCAAATGTTAAAAATTTTATCCTCTTAAACACTTACTTTACAGACAAAAAATTCAAATTTTATTTCTTTCCTGTCGAGCCTTATTATATTGCCGCCCTGTAAATTACTTCCGTCTCTTGTCCTTCTAACGACAATGCATAAAACCTTTGAAAGCTGCAGCGAATCTTTCTTTTACAACACTTTTTGAGAGGTCTAGCAAAAAAAATGAGTTAAAAAACAGTTTATAAACTGCGAAGATCTAGCTAAAAAAACAATCCATTACGTCACAAAAATATAAAAAAATGGGAATCCGTATACTTTGAAAGAAGCGTTAAGTGATGTTCTCTGATTAAAGTTAAAAAAAGTACTCTCGCTCTAAATTGAAGTAGACTTTTAAAATGTTACAAAAAAAAAATTTGACCACTTAACTGGTACTTTAAAAAATCAAATTACTCTAGGACAATGACAGATGCTACTTATACCGCTCAAAAATCAGGCAAAAGAGAGTCGAATGCGTAACCTAAAAATATCATCTTCTACTACAAATGCGATGACTGAAAACAAGTTTTCTACGAAATTAAAGTTTAATAAGCGTAAACACAATTGTCTCTCTGATTTAGAAGCTTCTGCGTTCAAATTTTCAAAGACATCTTAAGCTAATCAAGACACACAAATTAAAAATTATAATTTCGTTAATTTAAAAAAAATCAGTTTTCGAGTCCAAGTTTTACATTCGGGGAAAACTTATAATAAAGATGTTGTTGAAGTTAGACTTTGAAGATGAGATAAAGGTCAGTAATGAACAAAACACAGAAAAAAGTTATACGCAGCAGAAATTGCACACTTGTTGAAAGAGAAGAACTTTAAAACGTATTTATTTTTAATAACTAACGAACTCAACAAAGATTTTTTCTAAAATACTATGGCATATAAAACACTTGCATCGTAAAAACCGAAAAAACTGTATATTTAACCACAAAGCAAGTCTAAAGTCTAAAAAGTTTTCCATCACTAATTTTTGTTTTAAGGAGGCTTTTGGTCCAACTTCGAGTGCAGACGAAGATAAATCAAACAAAACTGTTGCTGAAATTAACGTAAGTTAAAAAAAATCTGTTCTTAATTCTTAACAACCTTAAATGCAAAAATCGAGTTGTAGTACTGAGGAATTACTAAGCCTATTCAACTATTATTTCAGTACCTTTTTCGAAAATTTTTTGAAAAAATATTGTTTTACCAACGTCAAGTAAAATACAAGACGACACCCTTACTAAAGAAATTCGCTCTGACAACAAGAAAATAGTCATTTGTAAAGGCCCTAAAAAAGCAGTACGAGAAAACAAAAATCCAACTCTTGAACTCAGAGAAAGTCTTTAGGCAATGCTTGAGAAGCCAAAACGAATAGGAACTGCAGATGTAGAAGAAAGAAAGGACTATTTAAGAAAACAAAGAGATAAATTACTCGCTATGAAAAAAGTGGCACGCGAAAAGCAGTTCAAGGTTAAGTGTTTGAACGTCCACTAAACTAGCAACCACTAATAATTTATAACTCATACAAGCAAAGTTTAATAGGAAGAAAATAGAAGATTTAATGTGATTTACCATACAGGCAGCAGCAAACAATGCTAAAACTAAAGCAGAGAGACCAAAAACAGCACAAGCGGCGAGAGAGGCTATGGCTGGTGCGGTACTGCAACCGACTTATATCAGTGAAGAAATTCTAGCTGCCAGGCACGAAATGGCTTTGAAATTAAAGAATAACCTTCTGATGATTCAGGAATCTGCGTAGTTTAATGTAAATAAAAAGAATGACATTTATTCTACTTCTTCCTCTCTTCTCGGTGATAATAAAGCCCCTGTAAAAATATAAACCTCTCAATTTCATCCAACATAACATTGACAAGGCAGTATAAAACTCCAAAATATTAGTAAATCTAGACGTTCATCATACACTTCTTTGTACTTTTATTTTACTACTTATTTGATTGAAGAGTGTAGCTGCCTGGAAGGACGCAATAGCTTCAAGAATATTAAAGAAAATAGTAACTTCTAACAGCATTCAATAAATACAATATGACATCATACACGCAAATAAAATTTAAAAAAAAAAGGAAGTACAGTTCTCCATTTTGTTATAAGACTTCAATACAACACGCATTTGTAAAAGCCTACTTATTTACAAATATCTAGAGGTGTACTGCGTTAGACATCAATTCTTCATATCAATTCTCGAACTCGTATGCATTAAGATAACCCTCTGTTACAGAAACTTCTCCCTGGCTCTAGACACTTGTTAAAATAAAAAATGCCAGACAGTAAAAATTGCCTTCTCTGAGAAGAAAGACGCTTTGGTTAAGGATGGCTATCTTTGAGTGTCTTGAAAAATTTATTCCCTTAACTAGTAAAGCTCCCGGCGTTAATGGTGGCGACTGTGCATTAAAGAACAGATAACTTTACATTTTAGATAAAACTGCACAACCCGCGGCGTAGACAACCGAAATCTGTGGTAACCGTTATTTGAACCATCAGGTACATTCACAGAATGAATCAGAACTGAATTAATCCCGCAAATCGTTTGTCACAACAATCCAGATTGATCTTGGAAATTTCTTTGAAGGGCTATGTCTGATGGACTCAGATTTATTAAAATTTGCTCCATACTGCATTCACATATTGGTATATTTCAGTCTCCAAAATTGTTCAGAAGTGCTGACGCAGTGAGATACACCGTATGCCGCTTTGAAGAGAGTTTGTACCAACAACGACTGAAAGTTCACGCCTTCCCGTTCCCAAAAAATCTTGCCCTAACGAAACTTTCAATATCAGCTGCAATCCATCACCTGACTGACTCAAAACAAACGCACAGATTACCACTACCACCAAACAACAGAGCAAGCCTGCCACATCAGATGCCTCCCTGTGTTATATTGCTCTAGTTTTCTACTCAACATTAGAATGAGCAATATTCACTAGATGCGCCTAAAGTAAAACCAAAACCTACAGACTTTGTAGCTTGCTTTGACGTCGATACACTTGCAGCAAAGACTGAAATTGATTAGTTACGCAGTGGGAATTAGGGGAGCTGCATGCACATTGTGTCGGAAAATGTGCAAAACCAAAATGAGCACGGCAAGAATACTTAAGTGGAAAAGAAGTTAAAGATCAGCAAACTTCTAACTTGCTGAATACCCTCATAAAAAGTTAAAGAATCATGTTTTGCAAAAATAAAAATTCTCTTACCCAGTAACTCATTTTATGCGATATCAATAAATGTTTTAGCAACAAATAAGTTTTAAAAAAAAGATTTTTTACACAGTTACAGTGGAAAACTTTTACAACAATTTTATATCCTTGCCATATGCAGAAAAAAATTAATAAAAGAACAAAATGCCAAATAACATGAAACTTGGAAACTTGTTAAAGAACTTATAGAAAATTAAATCCAGCTCGGTAGTATTTGAACCACGCTTAGATAAATTTAATTTGCCCACCTTTACCGACAACTCAAGAAGATTATTCTGAGATTTCAGTGCGCAAAAATAAGTCGATTTACCAGTAAAACGATTTTAACCAAAAGATTTTTTTTCAAGTTTTGAGACCTGGTTAAATGACTGTGACAAGTAAGAATTAAGAATTCGATACAAAACATAACGTAAACTAACTCATACAATATACATGATAGGCTCTCAAGTAACATGACGCTAAGAAGATTGAAACGATTGAAACCGACATTCACTGATCTTTCCTTACAGCTGTCCTAAGTTTTAGGAATTTTAGAATTTTAATAAAAAATCGCTCTGAGATCTCAACAGTTTCACAACAAGTTTTTTATTGTAAAGGAATGACGAGCACTACACACTGTTGACACGAATGCATGAGAAACAGCTCCTCAGCATAAAGGAGCGATATAAAAGATTGATGATATTACTTTAGCGCACGAATATCTCCACCGATTTTATTATCGAGTACAAACAGGAGCTATTAATCAACATTTGTAAGGTAAAAAACATTTTTCATGAAGCAGACATGATCTATAAATTTTATCAACAATTCTTAAAGTTTAGGCATAAATAAAAGAAAATATGTGCACTTCTTTTCTCACTTTCAATTACAACTGATCATTTTAAGTGACATCTGGACAAATGCATGGAAAAAGCACTTATAACAAAATCTATGTCGATTTCCGGAAAACAACAAATTATTGTCATCAAACATCGCTGTAAAAAAAAAATATTAGGAGAGTAAAAATACTTCTATTTCTGTTAATAAGTTGTGTCGTTGCAACAATTGTATAATGCGTAAGAATGCGAATACACTTCAATTTTTCTTGAATACATCTGACTTGTTCTTCAAATTTAATAAGATTTTGTCTCCCCACTGAACGTTATTGATCCAGAGCTCTTGACAGAGTACCTTCCAGGGGAGAAATATTGAGGATAATAAGCCCAAGGAATTTAAGTGGCAGGCGATAAAGTGTACCATTTCTCGTTTCCCCTTCCTCTCGAATGCTTTCAACTAGACGCTTAGAGTATCGTCCTTTCTTTTCCAGATAAGTCACAAGAGTGGCTGTTCTACCACGTTCTCCTGATCTGAATTCGGTAATTTACTCATGACCTCTAGATTGTTTGAAAAAAAAAAAGCTTCTTAGGTTTACAAATGTAGTCTTGAGTTAGCCTCTCCGCATATTTCATTTTTTCCCGTCGTCATTCTCTGTATTAATAGATTGTCAACGTACAGATTTTCTCATATGGCATTACCTAACCATGATCTTTATTGCTTGAGGTAATGCGGTTTAACAGTTGCGAGAAGAGATGGGCTGCTTACAACTCCGAATAAGACTAGCAAATTGATAACTGATCAAGTTTTCCCGTTTTGGAGGTTAGTAATGTCTTTCACTCTAAGGAGCCGTGTAATGTCCCAATCCTCTGGATTAAGAGCGATCTGGAGAAAAGCTTTTCCTGTATCTCTCACAATAATAACTGTTGAGCTTCGTGCCCTCAAAGAATTTCGCAAAGCTGTGGTAGGATTATTGGGCCCCCGGCAGAGAGCTTCCTTTAGACTGTTTCTTACCGTTGACTTTGCACTATCGTAAAACACCACTAGGAGTTTGGCTGTTCGTTTCTTTGGTGTGACAAATACCTAGTGAGGCACATAATGGACTATCTTTTTTCCGTCGGTTTTTTCAGCAACTTCAATAATCCCTCATCCTAGCTGGTCTTTAAAGACTTTGCTACTGCCTGGACAACAAAAACCTAATATTCTTTCCTTGATTCATATCAGTAGACGCCAATATATGCTCAAATTGTCTGTATGAAACACAATTTTGCAATAGCTTTTTTAAAAATGACGTACAGGTAACGCAATCTTTTTGGGAAATTTCTGCCACTTCACACAGTGAAGTATTTCTCATAATAATAATTCCTAATTAAGCTGCTCATTGAAAAGCTATTAAAATAATATCACAAATTAGCTAATTAAGACTTAGAATTTTTTCAAATTCAAATTTTTAACAAATTCTGTAAAAACAAAATTACTTTTCTAAGAGTCACGTTACCCGTCAAACAACCCAAGAAATTCTTAATAGCATGCACTGTTATCTTTTGTGATTTCGACGGTCCACTTCTCAGTGGACGAAAATTTCAACGACAATTAGAAAGAGGTTCATTTTCCCAAAGTTCGAAACTTATTTCAGTACCACAAAGCCTCTAAAACACTATCGGCCTTGAAACTGTTAAAAAATAATTCCGCCGTCAAAGCTAACCAGAACTTCTTGTTTGTTGTGACCTCCCGTCTTATTAATCAGTCCCATAAATGGAAGCTTTTTAAGAGAACGGAAGTAATAACTGCGGCCTTCAAACGAACTTTTTCCAATTCCCAAATGTTCTCATTCACGTTTGCGAGTTGAAACTGCACTGAAAATTAAAGTTTTAGAGGACTGGAGGAAAATGCATGGTCTTATTTTCAAGCTGAGTGACTTTTAAAAACGACACAAATTTAAAATGATTACGAAGAGCTGGGAAGCTACTACTTACAACCAATCCGCAACGTAGATCTTCATTCGCTTTAAAAAATATTTTTGTCTGGCTAAGTCATCACTTCTTTCATCACAGAGAATTTTACTTCAAACAGTGCTCATTAAACGTAACAAAATCTTAATACATTAGGCTTGGTCACTCATTAAGTACCATACAGAATGCACCTACTCAGAAAGTTTTCCTCAGCAGCACAATAAGTACAGACAATAGCTGAAGTTATCCACCGAAAAAAAATGACGTGCCACAAAATAGAACCATGGTTGCTATGCGGAAAAAACCAGTGACAGCCTGAAAAATCTGTAGATTACTGTGACTGTTGGCGAGCCTATCCGAGCCTGCCTTTATTTCATAGCAAGTACTACTTTCATCACCTACCGGTGCCGTGTCATAATCTTCCAGTGCACTTATCAGTGTATAAACGGATTCGTTCCTAATTTGGGGTGAAAATTTTTTCTCGGTGGAACAGTGATGCTCCGCCATAACAATCACAGTGGTGCGGTGGACCAGCAACTTACAAAAATACTGGCCTTTGTTCAAACTGAGCATTACTTACCTCGCTTATTTTTGGAAAAGTGAGGATTTTTGACATCATTGGTTTCCGCGGAATAATACCTACATGTTTCTGGCTGTCCTATGTTGAACTTTGGAGCGTCTTCGAGAGATTTGTTGAAATACCAGGGTTGATTGTCGCGACGGCATGTAAAATGGCCTCAAGGGCCGAAGGCGGTAACAAACCGGATTTGACCCTGGGGGAACTCTCCCGAAGGCCATGCTAGGTGATCAGACCGAAACGTATAAAAGAGCAAGGTAAACAACAGGACAGGAGTCTTGTTGTGATCAACAGTTGAAGCAGGTGATTTTTTATCATCTTTGCTTATAATGCCCATTGCGCAGCTTTATCCATTTTATTTTGAATTTTTTTTTGTTTAGTACCCTAGTTTCAGATGGGTTATTGTTTAGTGTTTTTTTATCCCTCTGGGTTTTCCTCATCTGTTCAAAGTCACTTTGTTCATATGATTCTTTACCATCATTTTTTTGAGAAAAACTAGTAGTCAGTTTGGCCAGTGTTATTTTTCAATTTATAAGTTGAGTTCCGATATACTGATAGGGATTAAATTAGTGAGCAAGCGCTCAGTGATCTTTACTCATTCTCTGTACCGTCGTCTCTCCAGTATTTACTTAATTTTGGTATTTTGAGGTTTCGAGTGACTAAAGAATTATCAAATAAGTTTCAGCGTTCACCAACGTTACCACCCAGCATTTATCCAAAATTATACAGTCCTCAGTAGCGCTGCAAGAATCGGCAACTACAATTACTTGCGGTTTATAAGTGTAGAAACAAGGATTCCTGTAGGGACGCTGTAGAAGAGTTGATCAACTCCCCAATTAAAAAGGTTTCCGGTAGTTACGACACTGATTTCTTTAATTAATATTCTTGTTTCTTTTTTTTTTTTTTAACTGAGTTTGTTCGCAAAACACGATTTTTTTCGTTGTTTGCACGTAGATTCTTCCCAGTGTGTTTTTGAAATAAGTAAGATCATTTAGTGGGGTACTGCCACTACTTGTTTTAAAATCTTGCCTACTATTTACAGATCCGGGTAGGCTGGTTTTTCGCGTGATTAAATAGTTCTTTTCATTTAGTATTTGATTTAGGTCAAGTATTTCTGAAGGGTTTGCTACTGTTTTGCTTGCCGCAGTTATTGCTACGTGTCGCTTGCTGAATTTTTTGCATTTTCTCATGCTATACAAAAATAGGTACAAATGACGGAAAAAAAGAAACTAGCTCCTAAATCGCATTTTATCAATTTACTCAGTAAGGGTGTCAGATTTTAGTGAACTCCCAGAATAAGACAGTTAAAAACGCCTCAGTTTAGACTTAAGCCAGCGTTATTCTCACGCGAGAGACGTTACCGTATCCCTTCTGAAATACACATAGACTAGAAGTGAGCTCTTCTATTTTCATAAAATACCTTCACGTTTTTCCTTGAATTTCAGTAAAGAATTAAGGCTATTTTTGTACTGAGAATATTAAATATAAAAGAAACTGATTCTTTTCTACATTTACTTTTTCATTAAAAATTATTTATTTTTCCATCATTACTTTCCAGTATTTTCCCACTTGATAGAGAATTGCATTTCTTGAGCTCCTCATTTCAAACTGTGTTTTTCCCATCTAGCTGTAGGCGTACCTTATGTTTTTCTACACATTTTTTTTAACTTCTGTTTATGTTGATTACAAAAAAAGTGTTGATCTTATAGATACCTAATGGATATGAGCAGTGTTATAATAGTAAACAAGTTGAAAGGTGTGTGTTAAAAATAAAAATCCTGTCACATTCCCGTTAATATCTTGACAGAAAGTGGACCGAAAAGGGAGGAGTTTGAAATACAAAGATTAAATACCCGTCAACACTATATTTATAACACATCATTTATGCATGTAACACAAAAGTTTACATCCCTGTGGGGATTCGTCGGGTAACTTCTCCGGGTGCCCCCGTAAAACACAGTGGCATTGAGCCAAAACTGCTGAAGTTCCTCCAGGAGAAGGCTTTTTCTCTTAAAAGTCCTTCCACCAAATTAGACATAAACCCGGTCATAGCTTGTTTTGCCTTCTCTCTTTGGTCGCCGTTTTTTGCTGGTATTTTCGGAAAAGTTAGCCTTTTTGTTTTTCTTACATACACTTTTTCGTTCCTGAAATGCCCCTGAAGGTCCCGCCAAAAACGCGTCTTTGCTGGACAATTTCAAGTACTCAGTATCCCCGTCCGGGAGAAACTTTGTAGTCATTGGAAAGCTCTGATAGCGAGCGACAGCTGGACTCTGCTAGTATTACTAAGAGGGACCTGTCTTTTCTACGAATTACATATTACCTTTCCATCTACTCCGCGTTTCTTATAGTTAAGAAGTTTTTCGCCGATCCGGAACATTCGTTTCGGAACAGGCTGTGCTCGTTAAAAGGCTCTTAGAACAGGCTAATTGATTGTGTTTGTTTGATCCGAGGTCACTGGTCAATTTTTTGAGTTGCGTGCTTTTCCTCTTACTCATTGTGTTTATTTTAT